CGATTTTGTATTTCCTCTAGAAATCAATCCTAAGCAATTTTGTGACAACCTTAAAAGAGAAGGAAAGAATATTTCTTACTAAGGTGTAGGCAAAAAATATTTTCTCCTTTTATTTTTTCTCTTGGTCATGTGCCCTAGACAATTTAGGAGCTGGTCGAATTGTCCCTCTCCCATATATATTTATAAGAGAGTTTGCTTATCCTCTAAGGACAAGGAAAGTGAAGTCTTTGAGTCCATAAAGGACACTAAGTTATTGGTTCCTTATCCTCCAAGGATGATGAGTTATTTTATATGTGGACTATTTCAATATTATCTTTAAAACATTCAACCTTATCCAATAAGATTGATGTTTATCTTTAAAACATTCAACCTTATCCAATAAGATTGATGTTTATCTTTAAAACATTCAACCTTATCCAATAAGATTGATGTTTATCTTTAAAACATTCAACCTTATCCAATAAGATTGATGCTTATCCTCCTACCAAAATTATCTTTAAGCTTTTTAATTAAATCTAATGGGCCAAGACTATGTTAGCCTAATTAATTTATTTGTTCTATCCAAATAAATATTCTTAAATTATTTTGATGAGGCCCACATTAAGAAATAATTTTCTAAAATACCCTTTAACCTAAATTAGGAAAGTCCTTTCCTTTTAGGTTCTTTATTTCAAAATTTTAAAACTAGCTTCTAAATTAGAAAATCTATTTCAAAAATAGAAAAATTTTCATTTTTGAAAAATTTTCATTTTGGAAACTATTTCCAAAATAGGAAACTTTTATAATTGAAAACTTTTTTCAATATCTTTGCTTCTCATTCGTAATGTGAATACTTAAACTTATGCTTGTGACTCGAGTAGGCTTCTAGATATGTGGGCAATATATCAAGAATAAAAGACTCCTCTTTTATCTCTTAATGCATAAATCAAGATTGACCTTCGGTAAGGCATCATGGCTATCCAATTCTCTATGAGGATTAGTTAATCTATTATTACATGAGTATGGTTACCATACAATTGAGTCCTTATATCAACTTATTACAAGTGTGATCTCGAACTTGATTATTAGTCTTGTTCGATTATGATCATACAAGTTTTCGTCGATTCCCAAATGTCTTAGCTCTAAGAGTAAACCAACTATGCTCTATTACTATACTCCTACCGTGGTCACAGATTTCTTGAGCAGTACATTTATCAAAGTGCAATGTGATAACTCCTTTAGTATACAAGGAAAGACATGTCCTATGTTAGTCATACAACTATCTCAATTGGATTTATAGTGCACCCAACGAATCGCCCACTACAACCCATTAATGAGTCCATCGAAACAAGTGTCAAAGTGCATAAGTCCTCCAATAAGATAATCATGATGACTTAAAGTTTAAGGACTATTTGTACCCATCTCGTATGAGATTCCTATAGATTAAAATCAAATGGGTTCTCATGGCGAGTCAAGTCTAGTGATATGTTCTTTAACATAAATCACCTAAGCGCTTACTTTGATATCACCATGCCAATAGGTGTGAGATCTCCTACTCGCTATCATATAATATGAGCATAGCACTCACATGTCTATCTGAATATTATCAATGTCCATTCTCGATAATGCTATAACTTGGGATATTTAATGATATCATTTATGTGCATTAGTGTTTGTCTCACATCTTTCGATCAATCACTATTGCAAATGCATATCATTAGGACTTCTATCTAACTTTACTGAATTTATCAACATGTAAACATAAGAATTAACAGAATGAGTTTTTTATTAAATGATGCAATAATACATTAACTTAGGCCCATCCAAACATGGTTGGATCTTAGGCACCAACACCAACACACCCAACAAATCATCCATATGTAATCTTTTACTAGGTCCATCGAAACGATTGTTAAAGTACATAAATCTTTCAATGAGATAACCGTAATTACTTCAAGTCTAAGGACTAGTTATATCCATATTGTATGAGATTTTCATATACTAAACCAAATGGGTTCTCATGGTGAGTCAAGTCTAGTGATATGTTGTCTAACATAAGTCACCCAAGTGCTTATTTTAGCATTATCATGCCAATAGGTGTAAGATCTCCTACTCGCTATTACATAGCATGAGTATAACACTCACAAGTCTAACCTCATATAGCTAATGTTCATTCTTTACAATGCTATGAATTAAGACATTTAATGATATCATTTATGTGCATTAGTGTTTTTCGCATATTTTTCGATCGACCACCAATGAAAATACATATCATAAGGACTTCTATCTAATTCTACTCAATAAATAAATATAAGACATAATAATTAATAGAATGAATTCTTTATTAGTAATAAAATAAATTATGTAATAATATAAAAACTCAAACCTATCCAAAGATGGTTGGATCTTAGGCACCTACACCAAGAAAAAGACACTCACATTAACCGACGTTAAAGAGTGTTTGTATATGGGTACTCCAGCCACATCAATCATTAACAATCATAAACTATTAATACATAATCAAAAGGATAAACCAATCCATTAGCATATAAATTATTAGTTTACTTGATTACTACTTATGAATTACTACCGATAAGTTATAGCTTACAAAGCTCCAAGTGTGTTCAAAATAAGAATAGTTTTTTTATAGTAATTTGCATGTTGAGTCCGTTAATATGTTGTATTATCCATCATTATCTTCTTGCAACTTGTAGTTATAGGCTTCTTATTCCTCTATGATCTTGTATAATGGACTATGTCCCTTTTCACTTAGTCATGCACCCTTGCAACACTCCATGTTCTTTTGCAGGCTTTCTATTTTTTCATTGTTATGTTTTATATTTTTATGACTTGTCCAAATCGTGTCTTTGGTGTTGCTAAATTCTTTCTAATCCTTTGTTTGGTTTTAATATTTATTAGGATTGTTTGTTCTCATATTGTTCATAGTTTAATCTCGTTAAGAATCTATATCTATATTTCTTTCACTAGAAAACTACTCATATGATAGTTACAAAGATGCTAGAATTGGTTATCACATTGGTCTATAGTCTTTATAATCTTACAAGATTCATTATCAACCACCATTGATTTATCAAGTGTATCTCTACCAAAATAACTACATTCTATTTTATTTTATAACAAGAGCTTTTGTTAGATTGGTTACAAAATAAAATAGAATGTAATTATTTTTGTTAGAGATGCGCTTGAAAATCAATGGTGGCTGATAATGAATTTTCAAAGAGTATAAAGATTATAGAGCAAAGTGACAACCAATTATGGCATGTTTATTGGCAAGCTCAAGTCTATCTTGAAATTTTGATGTTATCATATTAGAGTGTGTGTATGTGTATGGAGGGAGAATGTTAGAGAGTAATATAAATCATATCTTCCGACCTCAACAAATAGCTTAAATTTTTAGGTTAAGATAGTTCTTCGATATGGTATGAGAGTCTTGATGATCAAACGAACATAAATTCGAATCTCATCACTTTTATTCTCTCTTATTAAAATTAAATAATAAAACATAAAGTAGTAGTAAACTTGTGTAAGTTTCAATCTCAAATGATTTTCACTTAAAGGGTGTTTTAGTGAGTAATATAAATCATATCCTAGGACCTCACCCAATAACTTTAGCTTTTTTTTTTTTTTTTTTTGAGATGATTATTTAACATGGAGTTATTGATAATCGATCAAATAACTATTTGGCAAACTAGTTAGGATATAGAGAGTTAGTGTTGTAACTTATACAAACAACAATCAATAAATTAAGTAGAGAGAATGCAAGTCATGAGAGGTATCGAAGGAGAAGAAAGTAATGCTAGCAAAGCTTAAGTTGAGTAACGAGTTGGTGGGTGGTTAAAGTCCAAACAAATAAATCTTTAGATATTGCTTGATGCGTGAGTGGGAGAAATTTGAGAGTGTTTGGAGGTTTTTTCTAAGAATTCGAAGGTTGGAATCTTCTCATGTGAGATTAGTATTTATTGTGAAATAAAAATGACTTTTAATTATTAGGATCATGCCACATCATTCATGTTCGGATGGTTAAATTTTAGTTGAAGAAATTAGGTTTTTTTTTTCTTTTTTTGCTCTCAAATAATTAAGAGACCGTGAATACGAATGCTGATCCCAATATATCAAGAAAAATGATTTTGTTTGCAGAATGTAGGATCAATTTATGCAGGGTAGATTGAATTAATTATAATGCATGCATTGAGTAGGATTGGCATAGCGGAGGGTTGGTACGTTAGTTCGGATCGAGCATCGCATGTTTTGGAGCCTAATTAATTGCAACTTGCAAGTGTTGGAATCTATACTAGGCAGCTTAGGCATGATGTATTTATGATTTCTAATTTTCAAGTAGGATGTAAGGCAGCAGACTAAGTGTTGCGATAGTTAAAATGGGGCCAACACAAAGTTTTACCTTGCACTTAAGGCTTAAAATTAATTAAGCCTCCATATATCTGCATGTTAGAACGGATTTGTAGCATGAGAAGTTTCTGGGTTGCGCCGCAGGCCGCTCACCTAAATTCTCATAACAACTTGATCCCAAAAAATCTGTGAAAACGTTAGCAAAATATTTACTACTGGTAATTTTTTGAAAAAAGAACAATCAGTTGGAGTGTCCGTGTAATAGCTCTAATTAGATGGTTATGATAATGTAGCCTTGTGTCATGAGAATATTCTAATTAATCAGATTTTAATCCAAGGATCAGATTCACGCCTAATGTCCCAGCTGACACAGAGCTTAGAGAATCAATCCATTTATAAGTTCCACTAATTGATACAAATAGTATAAGAGAAGTACTATATATACATATTTACAAGATGAATTGAAAGCTCATATATAGAAGCAACGAATTACATGAATACGTACTTACAAGAATCTCTGTACTATTAGTCAAAATAAAAATAGTCTTTAACCAGATTATTCAATGTAAATAGTTACTAAACAAAATTATACGTAAAATTAAGTCTTAGTAAATAGGGTTAGGTTTCATCTGATTTTGATTACAGAAAAAAGCATGTCTAGTTTACATGTGACACTCTTTTTGAATAGGCTTTTACCAATATAATAGTATAGAGGGAGCTGGCATATTTTATCGTAAGAAAATTGAATAGAAAAGTAACATCACTTAACATAGGAATTAATTTTACCTTCAAGTTTTACTGGAGATTGTTTGTATTAAATAATTTATTTACAGACTATTTACGTTTTTACTACCAGCTGTACATGAGGTTAATATATATATATATATATATATATATATATGGCCATGGCATGCATGTAAGAGAAAACTTTAATATTAATAAGAAGATTGAAATATCATTCATGCAATTGCTGTTGATTGGAAGCGAGCATGCTTTTCTTGCCTCTTTCACTTGTTAAGTGAATGCATATTTAATTGGTTAATTCTCTTTAATTTTTTTCTCTTGTTTTAATTATTTATTTATGTAGAGTATAACAAAGGTTTGGAAATTGGAATTGAATCACCACATTACATTTACATACATAACAAGTAAATTTTGGATATCAGGTAGCTAGCCTCTAATATAGCTGGTTTCTCTCGGTTTCTTCAGAACTATATATCTTAACTTCTCACTAGTTCATCAATGGGAAGACCTCCTTGTTATGATAAATCAAACGTCAAGAGGGCCGTCTAGACAGCTGAGGAAGATGCCAAGATACTTGCTTATGTTTCCAATCATGGCATTGGCAACTGGACTTTGGTTCCTAAAAAAGCAGGTGTGGTTAATTCTATATATGTCAAATGTGCTGATTCTTTCCTTAATTTTAATTTTTGGATATATATACTGTGTGTGATATGTATGCTTGGAAGTTAATTAATGACCTGTGTTTTTGCATGAGTTTATTATATATTATGTACAGGACTCAACAGATGTGGGAAGAGTTGCCGGCTTAGGTGGACTAACTACCTAGGGCCGGACCTTAAACATGACAGATTCACTCCTCAAGAGGAAGAGCTTATTATTAAGCTACATAAAGCTATAGGTAGCAGGTTGGTCTTTTAATTTGTTCTTTCCCTCAAAATTCCTATTCATTGATCTCGATCGTGCCTAAAAGCAGTAATACGCTCCCTATTAAGAAAAAGAATTCATTAGTCTGCAAGATTTCTCATACTATGTAACACCTAAAAGCCTCAATTCCTTGATCCGTAAGATTTTGTTGACAAAAAATAATGTAGCAGACTAAAGTAGTTTTTTCATGGGCGACATCGATGGCTTAAAAAAATATGTAGTCTTTCTATTGATGGCTTAATTTGCGAGTGTGTGCTTACCATGTTGCTGCAGTACATATTCAGGATCCTTTTTGGTGGTTATAAGCTCTAAACTAATATATACATATATATATATATATATAGAGCAGTGCACTGAAAAAAAAAAAAAAAGTTTCATGCAGTACTCCAAAATCAGAAAAAAAGTTACATCTTCTAAACTAATTTTTTGTTGAATTCCCATGACATACAGCAGACTAAAGCAAATTAACTACTCGCTCTATGTATATATTTACAACTGTTTATGTCCAACAGCCTTTCTTACCCATTTTTTTTGTCCTGTTACTATCGCAAATTTTATGACTTTCAACTTGATTGCCTGTTTGGTCTAGGTGGTCTCTGATTGCAAAGCAACTGCCTGGAAGAACAGACAATGATGTGAAGAATTATTGGAGCACTAAGCTCCGGAAGAAGCTTCAGAAGATGGGAATTGATCCTGTAAATCATAAACCATTTCGACAGATTTTTTCTGATTTTGGAGTGAATTCCAACCTGATCATCAATCCTCTTCTGTCGTCTAATCTACTACTGGTCCTGGGCCTTCATGTTTCAACAAAACCATGGAAGAGCAAGTGCAGGAGTACAATTCTACCATTACGTATCCCACTTCATGGGACTTCCTTGCACTGTTTCCAGTCCATGACACCACACAGTTACCACATTTCTTCAATGAGGTCAGCTCGTCTTGCTCATCATCATCATCTACTAGTACTTTCCCACAAACCTATTCCTGCCAACAATCTCAGGCTCCATTAATTACGCCCACTTGTTCATTTAATTGGAGTGAATTTCATCTTAAGGATCCTGTTTTCTCCGCTGACTTTCAGCATCAACAAGAGCATGACTTTGATGAGATATTGTCACCAAACACGTCTAACGTTTCAACTATGGCAATAGCACAGAACGATATATCTTCTTGCAATTTAACTGGTGGAATCAACGGTGATTGGTTCTTGAACCGATTAGTTGGGCACGAGGCTTTTGGGTCGATAGTCAATAATGGACTTGAACCAAACATCAATGCTACTGATCATGCCGTCTATTCCTCTTCTGCTAGTTCGTTTGTCGATGATATCTTGGACAAAGACAGAGAGATGCATTCACAGTTTCCTCAACTTTTGGATCCTCGTTTTGATTATTGTTCTTATTAGTTCAGAAATTTGACAACAAATTTGGAGGTGATGGGAAGGATAATGGAGGATCAATTAGAGCAGTATGGAATAGAGAGCTACAAACTTGCAAAAGACGACAGGGTTATTGCTCAAGTTGAGTTCATTTTCATTAATCATCATTCATCAATCCTAGTATTAAGCCATATTATTATGAACAGAAAGCTGGCTATATATATACACACATACATACGATCTAGTAGATCCTTCCTGTGTGTGTATATGTCTATATATCATGATGCAATATATGCGAGGTTAATGTTAAATATTAAAATAATAATAATAATAATAATTAATAAATCTAAATACATATGGGTGGTTGGATCAAATGATATTGTTTTAAGATCTTATGATCCAACTACCCATATGTATTGTTGAATTTTTTTAATCATATTTTCCTATTATTTAGCATAAACTCCGTATGTGATCCTATATCTATAAGGGTTTTTACTCATAATTAGGAAGATCCTAAATCAACTACCTCAGGAGTAAGAGAACCTATCTTAATGATCAGTTGATTTACTTATGAGACCACATTATTTTAGCATTAGGGACAATACCCCAAATTAACCTGTTAATCCAAGGGTAAAATTTCAAGGATGGAAGATGTGTGGCCCATCACATTTCTATGAATATGATCAAGTACGAAATCGATTTTTTTTTTCTACTATTTTCCGGAGTCAACATCTACAAGTTCGTTAGCTAATCTACTAAATTCTAGGATCATACATGGGGTTACTATGTATATTTAGGAATTTTTTTTTTAATTAAGAAAAACGCTAATCCAATGATTGATTTTTTTTTTTTTTGAAAAATAGCATTCCTCTTCGACTTAATTCTCTATGGATTGGAATCCTTCGTTTTCTAAGCCAATATATACGATCTCGCCTCTCATTTTTGTATATATATACACAAGTGGCCACGAATCAACCATGCAAACATTTTCTACCTCTTTTTTTTTTTTTTTGACAAATCAAAGAACCATTTATTACTTAAAATGACAAAATAACCTCTCATACTGATTGGTTACGCTAGTTCAAAGGGAAAAAAGGAGACAAATCAAGGAGTGGGAGTGTGGGAGACCCACCCAACAAACCAAATCGAGAGAAGAAATCAGAAAGGTGGAACGAAGATTACACCCATGGCTACTGTATTGCAGAGATCATCTGTTTCATTCCGACGGCAAGGCTCCTCCGGGCATGTTTGGGATAATCTTCTCATTGATCAAAAAAAAGCGGACAGATGGTCAGAACGCCTGCCGGCAAAAGCCAAGAGATACCCCTCGGCAATAACAATATTGACAAAAGACGAGGCCAAGAATTCCTTGAAAAGAAGGTTATTAACAATAGGAGTTCCTACCACCCTTCAACGCCTTCTAAAGAAGAAAACAAGGATGAAAGGTGGGGTGTCTTAAACTTTTGGAGGTGTTGCATGGGATCTCCTACAACCTAGTTAATTTGTTTCTGTTTGTTATTGAAATATTAATTAATATGTATATCCCTGTATCATCCATCTTGTTTCTAGAATCTGCTGGCATGCATACATATTTTTTCTCTCTTGAATTCTTTTTCGTATGTATTGCATTTGGGGAAATTGTAATCACATGAACATGCAGCTATCCCATGAGAGAGATGTAATTTAAAATTATCACAATTAATTAATGAAGAATACTCATATCTTTTCTATCCCTTTCTTCTATCTTTCTCTTTCGTGCCAAATAATGTTGGTTCATCATATTCGCATCAAAGTAATTAATGGAGGGAACACAACTACAAATGCATGTGATTTGGCATTCAAATCAGTATTACAGGAGGGCTATTTAATTTAGAAGCAAGCAACTACATACGTATCCTTCACTATGGAAGGTGAAGGACGCATACATATATATGGTGAAGGGAACACAACTTTAATTTCAGAATTCATAGACGTGTTCTCGCATCCTTTGCATGCATCTAATAAACTACACGCCTAATAGGCTTGAGAAAGAAATTACAATTAACAAGTATCATAGAACAATCAGCTGTCTAGGTAATCAAAATTTGAACAATGTTTTATTTGCATTATTTGCGCGAAAGATGTCCTGGAACAGTTGCATGATGAAATCATGGTGGATAATAGATGTAGATAGATAGGTAGATAGATAGAAAGAAAGTCCTGAAATAATTGGAGGCAAAGTTACAAGTCTGAGTCTTTTTAACACTTGCAAATTCAAGTGTATGTGCCTGAAATAATTGGAGGCAAATTTACAAGTCTCAAGCCTTTTTTTACACTTGCAAATTCAAGTGCGTCAATTCTATTCTTAAAAATGGAAGACAGATAAAGAGGATATAAACATCTTTAATTATTATTTCTTGTACACGCATGGGATCAGAACTAGCGTATAAAAGGATAGTTTAATACTAAAATATTTATATCAGACAAACACAGCCAATTTGAAGTGGTGCCTCCTTCCCGATTCCTGATTCCTATCTACCTTGGGGGCTTCAAATTAACCTAAATGACTAATGAACATCATCAAAGCCAACCACCCAAGGATTGATCAAGTCCTCAAGTTATTATATTAAGGTTGCAGATATCAAGTCCTCGAGTTATTATCAATGTTGATCATTAAAAAAAAAAAAAAAAAAAAAAAACATACTTTAATGGACATATACGTGGTTATAACGTCCTTAAACCTCAATGGTGGGAAAACAGAATTAAATTAACTGAGAGATGATAAATGCACCAATAATCAGTTTCCAAATATCAAAGCATAAAGGAAGGCAAATTAAGCAGAACAGAAAATATTTATTGCATTTTGTTTTGTCGAAACTGTACACTCAAGTTAGCATCCATACAAATGAATGGAAAAGCTTAAACTCAAACTAGAGGATACAAGATAAAATTTCAATTTGCAGACATCCTGAATGGAGAATATAAGATAATTAAGCACAAAAATAGTTTGGTTATCAGATAAGTCTTTCACCGACTAGAAAACCCTTCAGAATCAAAGCACTTGCTCAGTTTAAAACCTGCCTAGTCAACTTCCCAGTTGACGGTACTTAGTGTAGTCAAGTTCATTCAGGCGTATGCAACATAACAAATGTTCTGGCAAGTCTTCTGACTTGTGGCCCTGTCAGATAAATATGAAATTATATAAGGCATACATCATGTTGCATTTAAATAAGCCTTGACAAGAATCAAATAAATATGGTTACCTGAATTGTCAGGCCAAAATCCAAGACACAAAGCTTCAACCTGTCTTGTAATGATTCAAGACCTTTTCTAGAGATGTAGCTAAATCTATGCATATCCAAATCAATCTCAAAGTAATTTTCTCCCTGAAAGAATATTCAAAACAATGCAAGTTAAAAATGCACTTTCACCAACCATTGTTCAGTTACATTGCCATAAGAGTTTCGATACTGCAACATTTCAGTATCATTCTGCCAATGGAAAAGCATACAATCATGACACACACACACACACACACACACACAAAACCAATTAACATATAAATTGTTCAAGATAACAATATCAAACGATTAGGCACAATAGCTACAATTCCTTAGACGAAGGAATGACTATGAAACTGAGCCCAATACAATCTGCTAGATTTAGTCAAACATTTAAATCCTGTTCCAGCATGGAACAAGGAGAAAAGGAAAGAAAATGAGGCTCAGGTGATAACATTAAATCCATAAGATCACTGTCTAAACACAAATTTGTTAGATCAGAATTCCATATGCTCTGGCAGCCTTGAAAGACAGGGGGTCCATATGGCCTTGCTGAAAGTCACAGCACAACAGCTGTGCTTTCGCTTTCAACAGCACATTAGTGTTTGGAAAAATCTGGTCTGCTTCTTATCTTGAACTTTCTTAAGCAGTAAATCCCTTTAAATCTTCAACTTTTAAAAGCATAGGATTACCAGCTTCTTTTAAACGCCGATCTCCTGCTACAATTAGTCTTTAATTTTTATTTTTAAGTGACAAAACTATCCCTCAACCTTCAAAATAATTTCAGTGTTTATTATTCAATATAAACTGGGATAGTTTTAGCTTAATGAGACAGAAATTAATTTTAAAATTTTCATTAGACAAACCATATATTTCTCTTTTTTTCTTTTTTTTTTTTCAATTAGTTGGGATATTCTGATTAAGTGAAAAAATGTTGGTTTTCTTCTTTGTCATTTCGATTATCAACAACACTTTAAATATAAGTTTAACTAAACACTCGTTGCATGCTTTTGAACTCAGCAGCAGATAAACAGCAACCGTAACCAAACATCTATCAGCTTAAACTAATACAGCTTTCATTTTCAGTGCTTGTGCCTACAGCAGCAGCAACTGCTTAACTTGTACACACAGCAAGGCCAAAACAGAGCCAAGCACATAGAGCACTCTAGGTATGTGTTGTAGGGGTGCAGCAGAAAAGGTACATTATTTTGGAGAGGGAGATTGATATCCTACTGCTTATGATCACCACAGATCATACAACTTAATGTAACAAAACAGATTGAAATAAGCATTCTGAGACTTACCAAATAGAATTCATGTTGAGGACGTGAGAGTACAGGTTTCTCATTGTAGGCACTCATAAGCTTCTTTTCAGTAGCGCTTAATTGAAGATCATCAAGATTTTGTAGTCGGCCCAATATTTTTAATCTTTCCCTAAAGGGTGCAATGGTATCTAGAGGGAACCCTCTAACCCTCTCCACTTCATCATTAATTAACCTCTGTAAAGGAAAGAAATGCGGACAAAACCAGTTAATGAACTTGGGGGGGGGTGGCGGGAGACAAAAAATAGGAAAGCACAAAGTTGAAGATGCATCCATCTTACACTGATATTCTCTTGAAAATGAGGGGGAAGCTCTTTCGAGTAACTTTCGGACAGTTTAAAATACATAACCAAGCTCATTCCTTCTCCATCATTTTCGCTTTGAAATATTGTAGCAGGATACAGAGGTATCTACAGGGAAAAAAAATTCATCTCATCACTAAAGGTAATTGGTTAAAATAGTTGACATCAAATAAAGCAAATAATTACATTAGCATGGAATTGGGATCTACAATGTAGCATGGGACTCAACAAAAACCAACCTTATTTACACCATCGTTAAACTACAGATGGGCATAATTAATGTAATGGAGAGAGATGCTAGTGCTTTCGCCCCCATTTTTTTCCAATCAGGGAGGATGATTACTATAAATAGTGAATTTTTTGCCAGCAGCCCAAAGGAGACTAGGAGTCCTATGGCAGCGTCACACATTCGTAGAGCACTGGATGCTGCTGCAACATATTCCTAGCCTCCTTTGGGCTGCGGGTGCACAAAATTTCAGGCAATAAAAAATTGAAAGATAACAAGTACCTGAATGTTTACAACAAGAACATCAGGAACTTCATCTGATGTGTTGATGTGAGGAAGTTCCACAAATCTAGCGATATGATGAATTTTCCTTGGAGATAGGAAAATGTCTGCACCGAAAGGATAAAATGCAGCATAGTTTGGAGCACAACCTTTCTTCTTATCCCTGTCAAGTATATCACATTCAGATCTCTACAAGAGGCTGTAGAAATGAATATCTAAAACACACGCATACAAATCCCATATACACAAACTAATGCTATCAATGATGGCCAGCCTATTTTTTCCTATGCTTCTTACTAAATCACAATTCACAACTGAATCTAATATTTAAAATGTTAAGACAAGATAAATTAAGAGTAAGAGAGATACTATATGTAGTTACTGTAGTAGCAGATTCAAATAGTAACTACTTGTGTGACATTTAAATTCATAGTTCTACCAACAGTTGGTGGTTCTTGCATCCCAAACATCTCATTAATGAAATTACTAAAAGCAAGAAAAGTTCAGATCAAAGATTTCTCAAATTGAGAAGATCAAATATAATGATAAAAAGACAGCATCTATGACAAATTTCATTGAGGTAGTAGGAACAGATAAACAAAGCCAATGATTCAGCTTTCTATGCTGGAATAAATATTCCAACTTATTGAAGGAGCAGAAAACATTATAATACTCTCACCTAAAATAGTTCTTTCCACGAACTTTGAAAGTACTTGACTCAATGGGTGACCAACAATTAGGCATCTTCTTTTCTGTGGGGCAGTGAGGAATTGAGGAACCAGCAATAGGTCTTTGCACAAGTGCCTTGGGCGAAACTGAAACATAAGGAGGACAGTGACATGAGATGCAAGTCTACCACATATAGCGCATGATATAATGAGATGATATTTGACTGCAAGTGTTGTAAAGTACTAAAGGGGGTGCATCAAAGTACCATCAAGTAAAGACAATGAGATAATAAGTTCCATAAATTTAGAACACATGGAAAGTATAATATTTTGGGAGAGAAGGAAAAAAAAAAAAAAAAAAAAAAAGAGAGAACTTTTTCATCCCAACTTCTGCATTTTGGTCAAAATAGATTGTGTGGAGATAAAATACTAAAGAATATTGATTTTGAGTTAATTCTTCATCACTTCATCGTCATAATGTCATCGAGAGGGCTAAAAAGCAGACACTGATTAGACACCTTAAAGTTATTTCCCAATAGATTTTCATGAAATAAAAACGTCAGTAAAACATTAACAGAATGCAATGCTAAAGCGAAATAGGTCTGATATTAGACTACACATAAACATACTTTTTTCAAGTCCTCAATCAAGGTAAATATCTAATTAAACCAGACGGTACAGAAAGTCAAATTGAGTTTTAACAACAATCAACGTTCACACAGACACAAGCATATATTTGTAAATTCCAGGGTATATAACAAAGGTGCATGAAATTGTAGTAGCACTCACCTAGGGTTGGAGTACTAACATTCCCTTCTCTCCATTTAAAAGAAAGTTTAAGAGAAGGCCTTCTCTTGGAACTCGGTGTGCCTGGGCTTAATGGTCTTTTTTTGTCGATTGAAGCGACAGTTGAAGCAAGACAAGGCAAGCAATTAATTGGAAGAATTCCAGAATGATTCTCCGCTTGACCTCCAACACTCACATTCGAAACTTCATCAGCGAATACAGGAGTCACTTGATCACGAATCCGAGCATGCACATATCCGTCATTAGTTACTACCTCCCCACTATCGTTATGATCCTTGTGATTAAAATCTCTCCGGGATGAAATACCCAATGCAGACGCATTTTCCGGTTCGGTAACAGATATCATATCTACAATTTAATCAAAAGAAAAGAATTTTGTAGTTTATCATACATATTACATTGAATGAAAGAAACTAAGCAGCAAAAAGGCATAGACATACCATCATGTACGCTATAAAATTCATCATCCAATTCAGATTCAAGCACTGAAATAGCATCCGACCAGGCACCATCAATGCTTCCTATATTTTATTTTTTAACCCAAAAAAAAAAAAAAACACAAAGAAAGAACACAAAATTAAAAACAAACAGCTTGTACTTGAGTTGCAATGTCGAAAAATAAATAAATAAATAAAAATAAGAACCTTGAAAAGGAGGATTAGTGTAAGAGCGATCTGGTTGGCCAGAAACATTGAGTTTTTCAGCCTTAAGAGAAGAAACACGCTTTGAGATTACTCTTCTCCTTCTTTGCTTCCCGTTTTTCTTCTTTGATGATAAACAAACACGACTCTCTGCCCTTGATGCACAGCTTCCCATTCTTTCCCTTATCAAAAATCACTCCCTGCTTCAAATACTCTTCTTCTTCTTCACTATTAATCACCAATCTGATTTTTCAAAAAATAAAAAAGTATTTTCTATAATCTTGCTCAACTATTTACCAAATTAATCGCTTCACGGTCTCTCTCTATATTTATACTAATCCTCTGAAGGAAAGAGTCATGGGTAAACATAACTTTTGCCTCTAGGACTCGTCAATGTTTTATTTCTAACCCTGTAGTTTGAAATTATTCAATTCCATCCTTTATGTTCCAAAAAGTTCCAATTTTACCTCTATTCCTTCAATAGTCTAGTTTTGAAATTTTCTTTTGTATTTTTTATTTTCTAAATAATGCTAGATATAATTGACAGATGTGACATATTGTAATTGGTAATTTATTTATTATTTTATTTTGTAATTGTAATTGTATTGCTAAATATGATAAGATGAAAATTTTACTATTTCAAAAAGTTTTCACATATAAATTCTAAAAAAAAAATTTATATGATTATAATTATATTTGTAAATATGATAAATTTCATATTTCAGGATTGAAAAAATTTCTATAGAAAAAGAAAAATCAAATCACTTATTAAGAAAAGTTTTTGTAAACAATTCAAGTGATTATAGCATTACTCTTCTTTTTTATTATTTTTTTTATTTTTAAGCGGTTTTTAGATATATAGTATCTTCTTTTCTAGTTTTTAAGTTTTAAGTGGTTTTTAGATATATAATATGTATTGGGATTTGAAAGAAAAAAAAAAAAAGGAAACAGAAGCAAGAAAAACTGAAAAAAAAAATGAAAAAAAGGGAGTTTATTTTGTTAGTCACTAAGTGGTAAAAGGCAAGCTATAAAAGTAATATTAGAAACTTTTAAACAATGGAATAGATTTGGGGAATTGGTGAATCTATAAGGATAATGATGTAGTTTGTCCAAGAACACAACAAATCAGGATTCATTAGCATTTGCGGAGAGTTTGCAGACGCCGCGCGGGTTATTCCATCTCTATGTGGTGGGCCCACAACGCGCTCTTCTTTTGTATTATTCAATCTGATGGTTACTTTGTTACAGCGTGGACAATGGCCTCGAGTTGCCGTCGGATTAACAGTGTTTGGAATTATTACGAATGAAATTACCAAAAAGAATACAAGAAAAGGATGATAAATGGATACCAACCTTTTGTATATACATATGAAAAGGGAGGAAGGGTCAGAGTTGAAATTTGGTTAGCGCGTGATCTCTGAGTTTGACGTACATTTTGTTGGAAATAGGATGTCAGTTTACAGTACGTGTCCAAGCGTTTAGCTTGCATCTGACTGAGTTTTACGAGAGCACGTGTTTTTTAGTATTTCTTTTTCATTTTCTTGGACGGACGATGGGCGCTTGCACTTACTTTTAAGCAATACTCCATCCCATCTTATCCTTATTGGGAGAGTTACTTACGTTTTAGCTCTTTAGATTTATCAATTCTTTTTTTTAGTATTCGAGTGTGTATTAGGCTAGGATGGTAGTAGTTAGTTAAGAAAAAGAAGAAGAAGAAGAAGAAAAAAACAAAAAACAAAAGAGGGGGTGGGGGTGGGGGTGTTTTGGTCATGAAACGGAAGGAAAGGATTAGCCTTGAGGTGTTGGTCTCGAATTTGGTGGGTTTTGAAGTTGTTTGGACAATGGATGACACTGGCGTTGTGAAGATAAGGTGAAAATTCCACCAACAAAAATCATAACTAAGTCTATTGTAAGATTCAGAATCCCACTATAATTTAACTTCATAAGGATCAAATCACTATCTTGAGAGATAAATTTAAAAACATAAAAAATCAACTAAATAAACTAAAACAAAATATTAGTTTACTGTTCTAAATACTGTTCATACACTAATATTTTACTATTCATTAGTTTTTTTACACTGTGGTCCCCGATCTTTGCCAACGAATCTTTTGGTCCATATCTTCATTTGCTCATCTATTTTGGTCCCTAGATGAGAGAGAAGGAAGGAGGGAAGAGAGATCGACGGCCAAGCTTATTTAGGCTACGTTGGTTGACGAAAATCTACTAGATGTTTTTTTTATCTTTAAGAGATGAGTTTGTCCATGGTTATTTCAAGCCATGAAATAATTAAAGCGAGTAGATCGGAGTCAAAAAAGGAAACAATATTCCGATTTGATTGTGTAATTTTTTTTTTTTTGTGCACTAAAATAATTTTTAAGGTTTTATATATGTTTATTGGCTTTATTCTGGTCATTTGAGGTGTTTGAGAAAAAAAAAAAAAAAGGTGTCGAAATTAAATTTCTAAGAGTCCGAAACTTGATCCTCGATTTTCTAGCGAAGACTCCAGCAACCTCCGAGTCATCGGAAGTTGCGGACTATTTTTTTTTTTTTTTTGGAGCACCGACCTAGGCTCGACTTGCAAGCCCAAGTCGTCGAGCTAGGCTCGACGTGCGAGCCGACAGTAGTTAGCACGCAAGGATTTTTTTCTTCCTTTTCTTCTTCTTCTTCTTCTTTTTCCTTCTCCCGTTTCGGCTTAGGAAATTGACTTTTATTTTGGTCCCTTCTTTCTTTCTTTTTTTTTTGGTCATTAAACTTTTCTTATCTTTGATTTTTATCTCTATCAAAAATATTAAAATTTTATTATATGCGATTTTTATCCTTATAATAAAATGTTTTTTTTAACTTTGAATAAAAATTTATGTGCTTTTTTTTGTTTCTATTTTTTAATATGTTTTTATTTTAGTCATTAAAGTTTTTCCATATTTGATTTTTATCCTTGGTATACCGAAATTAAATAAAGTTTACAATCCTAAGATTTTTTTTTTTACTCAAATTTCTTTCTATTCTAATTTCGTTTTGTGATTTTTTCTTTGTTTTCATCATTAAATTTAGTAGAATTTTTTTTAGTCTTTTTTTGTAATTGTTTTTTATTTTGATCATTAAATTTTTCCCCTACAAGGAACTATTTTTTACTTTTAGTAAAACTTTTTGTTATATTTTTGTTTTTGTTTTACGACCTTTCATTTATTTTGATAATTAAACTTTTATTATATTTAATTATTATTCACTCTATATTAAAATTAAATACATTTTAACTATGCTAAGTTTTTTTTTTTTTAGTGAAAAAAATTAATGTTTTGATTCTTATTTTATTATTATTTTTTTATTTTGGTCATTAAAATTCTATAATGTTTACTTTTGTTTTCGTCTTATGCATAATAAAAAATTTTTAGTCTTATTGTTTATAAGTATTTTTTGTATGCTTTTAGTGAAAATTTTTTTATTTATTTTTATCTTTTTTATGTTCTTGACTTTTTTTTTTAATCATTTAATTTTTATAGCGTGTAATTTTATCTCTATTTTCTTTGCCAAATTCTCAATTTGACAAAGTTTTTTGTCTTTTGTTTTAAGTGGTCTCTCTATCTTATTAACAAATTATAGATAAATAATATATGGTAAAAATCAATCATCGAAAATTCAAAAAAATATCACATTATTATTTTAAGTATCGATTATTAATAAAATACATGTTCATATCAAACAATATCTAATTACCAACATTATATTACTCAACTTTACAGATTTTTCATTTAGCTAACCTTGCAACAAATTATAAAATATTTGTTTTAATGTTTTGTTTTTTTTTTAAATTATTTTTGTATGATATTGTTAAATAATGATTTGTAAACGTTAAGTTTTATATGAATGAATGTATAAAAATTTTATATAACTCAACCCGTCATAACGCGCGGGATATATGCAAATACAACCCCGAAAAATAATCACAAACGATCATATAGAAGTTGAGAGAAAATTCTCAAGAAATTGTTTTCAATAATAATAATAATAATAATATTTTGATGTCCAAAACACATAAGAAAAAACTTAAATACCTCAAGCATAGAGTCGACTAGCATAAGAACAAAGTGGTGGCAAGTTAGCCCAAAACATCTTTAGACCCAAACCTATACAATCTTCTAATCAATCCAAATCGAAATTAAATTTCTAAATTAACATTTAAACAGAAAAGGAAAGTAACAAAATAGTTCTAAAGTAAACAATTAAGTAAAACGAACACTTTTGTGTCAAAGCTATTTAAGTTAAAGAAGACTCGTCCTCAATGTTTTGTTCTTATTCTTCCTCATGGTATGGTGAAAGATCGATTACATTGAAAGATGTTGAAATATTGTAATCTTTTGGAAGTTTAACCTTGCAAGCATTCTCATCAATTTGCTTCACTACTGAAATATTCTCGGCTCAAGCTTAGCATATGGCTCTAGAGGAAATCTTTCCTTACTCGTGTGAATCTAGACTAGGTCATCCATTTTGAAAGCCATAGGTCTTCTAAAGTCGTTACCCTATTTGCAGTACTTCTCATTTTATTTCATGATTCTACCCTAGACTTGCTCATGCAGCTACTTAATTTCTTTAGTTGTTTCCTCTGCATCAACACTAAACTTAGTATGAGTTAGTTTTGGTGTGACTTCAACTAAAGTGATAGAATTTCTAATATACACTACCTTAAAAGTCTTACTTGTTGTTTAGCTTAGAGATCAATAATAGGCAAACTCGGATTGAGCAAGAATTAAATCCCACTATTCGATGTTCTTTCCCACAAAGCTCTATAATAGATTACCTAGACTTATATTCACTAATTTAGTTTGTCCATCTATTTACGAATGAGTCATAAAACTAAATTGCAACTTAGTTCCCATCTTGCACCACAAAGTCCTCCAAAAGTGACTCATGAAACTCACATCTGAGTCTGAATTGATGGTATTCAGAATACCATGCAATCCTATCACTTTTTGGAAGTAAAGTTTAGCAATGTGTGTGGCATCGTTGATCTTGATACACAAAATAAAATGAGTCATCTTAGAAAAATATCAACCATTACGATTACAGAATCCTTGGACCTTTATGTTGGATCATTTTTCTAAGATTCTGTAATGGTAATGGTGGATCATTTCTATCGAACATAAACCTTGGCCTACCACAAAATCTATAATCACATCAACCCATGGTGCTTCTAAAACTGGCAATGGAGTATAGAGACCACACTTTTGTCCTTGATTCTTGGCCATATGATAAACCGAACACTTTTTGATGAGCCTATCCACATCCCTCGATAGAAAAGGTTAATAAAAACCCTCAATTAAGGACTTAAGGTAACAAAAACCTTGAAATACACAAACAATTTTCCAAAAATAAATAATTATTATTAATGTGAAATTGTTTAAAAAGAATACTCACTACATTGCTACCATATAATGCCAAAGTGGTCATTATTCTTATATAAATCTTTGATCACTTCAAACCCAATAGCCCAAACTTGTAAGATTGAAAGTAGAGCATATCTGCAACTGAGTGCCTTAGCTACCTTATTCATGACCCTAGACTTATGCTTGAGAATATAATAGAATGGAGATAAGAATTCACTCCATGTAGAATGTTAGCCTTATAACTTATCCTGATTATGAAGATACTTGCTAACCTCGTGATTTGAAGACAAGAACTCTTTGGCCAATAGATGGTAATGCCAATGATCTAAAGCTCTAACTATAGCATATAACTCTTTTTCGTAAGTTGAGTATTTCTTTCTAACTTCGTTCAACTTCTTACTTAAATAAGCCACAAGCCATTTTATTTTTTTTACAAGTAACAGCTCCAAATGCTTATATTGGAAGCATCAAAATCCACCTCAAATACTTTCAAAAAATCAGGAAGATAGAGAACATGAGCTAGTCACCTTGTGTTTCAAAACCTCAAAGCTATTTTGAGCTTCTATTGACTACTCAAACTTATTTTTTTATTCAATAATTTGATAATTGGACTTTTGATAGAACTCTAATTCTTGATGAATCTTTGATAAAAAAGCAGCAAGCTGTGGGCACTTCTCACCTCAATCACAGTCTTAGGTTCGGCCAATTGACGATGACTTCAACCTTTCTATCATCCATCTATATTCCCTTCCTCAAGACAAGATACCCCAAGAAAACTACCTTCTTAGTATAGAAATGACACTTTTTAAAGTTAACATACAACCTTTTCTCTCTCAAAGCATTAAAAGTCTGTCGTAAGTGCTCCAAATGCTCTACATGTTTCCTACAATAAATAAGAATATTATGGAAATAAACCACCACAAACTTACCAATAAATGGCTGAAAAGTCTGGTTCATCAATCTCATGAGTTTACTAGGTGCATTGGACAACCCAAATCCTATGATCATTCACCCTCATCTTGAAAGCTGTTTTTCACTTATCTCCAGCCTCATGCAAATTTGATGATATCCACAATGTAAATCAATCTTTGAAAAGATTATCGATCCATGCAAATTTTTATGTTATGGTTTATGGAGAGGGGTTGTTGGCTTTGATTTGGATGGCCATGATGGATATTGGCGGTAAGGCAGCTGCTGCCATTAGGAAAAAGAAAAGGGATGGATATTGGCGGTAAGGCAGCTGCTGCCATTAGGAAAAAGAAAAGGGAAAAAGATATCGACATCTTTTAGAATGTGGTTGTCAATATTAGAGCTGTCGGAGGGGATTGGTATGGTGTTGTTGTTTTTGTGCTTGTCACTGCCACTAATTATTATTAGTATAGATGACTGAGTGTTGGCTGAAGAGAGGGGATAAAAAAAAACTTGATTTTTTATGGTGATTTTTTGGATTTCAGCAAGAAAAAAGAGTTCCTTTCTTTCTTTTTTTCTATCTTTTTTTTTTTTTTTCATTTTAATTTCTCCTCTAGTAATTAAATTACTTTTTTTTTCATTTTAATTTTTTTTTTGAGTTGCCACATGTCTGATAAAGGAGCTCATATAATAGGGCTATGTGTACAGTTAACCGATACATCAATAGAGAGTTAATGGAACCAATTAAATAGAAAACAAATTGCAAGTTGGATCACCAAATATCAAAGATTAAAAATTACACACTTATTATTATTATTATTATTATAATACTTAAAATATAATTAACTCGTTATTACACATATCCTGTCACATTGGCTTTAAGGTTTAGTTAGGTTATTATATAGCTCTGAATATGGATTTTGACAATGCTTTTACATATGTACTGAAAAAAAAGGCCATGCTTATAAATCCACGTGTGTGTCTATAAATATATATAAAACTAGAATATATATATATATATATATATATATATATATTCTAGTTATTATTTTTTAATTGATCCAATAGTTAATATATATATTCTAGTTTTCTTGGCTTGTACTAAGATATTTTTTTTATTTTTAATTGATCCAATAGTTAATATATATATATATATATATATATATATATTCTAGTTTTCTTGGCTTGTACTAAGATATTTTTTTTATTTTTTAATTGATCCAATAGTTAATATATATATATATATATATTCTAGTTTTCTTGGCTTGTACTAAGATATTTTTTTTATTATTTTTTAATTGATCCAAAGTTAATAGTTAGAAAATACAAAACCCACATATAATTTATTATAAGATATCATTGAAAATGATATTTACAAAACTACACACACATATATATTCTAGTTTTATTGGCTTGTACTAACATATTTTTTACTATTTTTTTAATTGATCCAATAGTTAATAGTTAGAAAATACAAAACCCACATATAATTTACTTTAAGATACCATTGAAAATGATGTTTACAAATTTCATATAATTTTCTTATAAGTATATTTTAAAAATAAATTAATATTTTTAGTTTTTATAAAGAAAAATAAAGAGAGGTTTACTTTTGCTTGCAATGTCCATAAATAATTGCTTCTTAAAAAAAAAAAAAACTATCTTGTCATTTTAATTTAAACTAAAGTTAGTTTGATTAGATGATGAAACTAAATATACTTAAATATATCATAAGCAAAATTATGATATTTATCTAAAATATATTTTTAGTTTTTATTTTGATTACTTATATTTAGTAATATCTATATTTGAAAACCCTTTAAAAACAAAAAAAAAAAAGCTCCAAAGAAAGTAAAATTTATAAAACATTGTATCTCAGATACTAATATTTATATCTTAATATTATAATATTAAAATATTTTCTCCTATCAAAATTGCTATTATGTTAAATATTTGTGAATTATTTTTTTTTAAGGAGTCTTTTCTAATATTATATATTTTATCAAAGGTATAACTCTTTTGGTCTAAAAGAGTCAAAGATAACATAACATAATAAACAATGGTTTCCTATAAAAATAACTAAGGTTCAATTTAATAATTTCTTAGATTTTGATATAATTTTATTATTTTTGGATTTTAATTAAATGTGCAGTGAATATAAATTAAGAATATAGACATGAATTAAGATTTTACGAATCCTTTTGCTTTAAAAAGTCTTTTTTAATACATTAACAGCAATTGTAAAGATTGAAAATATGATAATTCATAATCTAACGTTTATTTTATTTTTTGATTTTGATTACTTATATTTAGTAATATTTATAATTGAAAACTCTTGAAAAAATTTTCCAAAGAAATGAAACTAGCTTGATAAAATACTTGAACTTGGATGCTAATATTTATAATTTATGTTATAAATTTAAATATTTTATCATATCCTAAAATTACTATTATATTACAATCACTGTGAATTATTTTTATCGAAAGAGTTCTTTGTGCCAATAATTTATATATAACACATATACATAAGGTACATGATGTGTATAAAAATTTTATTCCGAAAGTCCATTAACTTTTAACATGATTTTATTTGCAGTATAATTTTTTAGGAATCCTTTTATTTGAAAAGGTTTATTTCTACTAAATGTGAGCCAACTATCAAGATATAGATATGAATAAAAAATTTTATCCTCCCTTTTAACTAAGTATTTTTAAATATTAGTAGAGTTTGTTGAAAAGTATAAAAATTTTCTCAAAATAAGTCAAAGATAGCATAAGATAATAACTTAGGCTCCTCTAAAAAATAACACCTAAAATCCAATTTAATAATTTGGTGAATTTTGATGTAATTTTATTAGTTTTGTATTCTAATTATATGTGGAGTGAAGAACATAGGTATCATTAGAAAATTTATGAATAATTTTGTTTGAAGGAGTTTTCTTTTAATAATAGTTGTGATTGTAAAAAGGAATAATAAAATAAAATAAAATAACTATGAATCGTTTCATCTAAAAGAAAAAAAGAAAAAAAAAACGTAAGGCTATAACCGAAATCTTATATATATAATAAAAGTTAAGGATCTAATTTCACTATTTGATAAATTTTGATTTAATTTTGTTGCTTTTAAAATTTTATTTAGGTGGCTTTTGTTAACTTGGGATAGGTTTTCATATTAATATTAACATATACTTTGTGTTGATATATATATAAGCCTTTTTTAATTTTTGTATGTAAAACCTTTTTTACGGTAGGAAAATTGTATTTAATATTTATTAGTATATTCCTTTTAATTCATGTGATGGTTGTTAAATTTAAGGATATATCAATTCAAATGTTTTGACATAAAGTTCGGGTGGGTGTGTGTCTCTATATCAAGGATATATCAATTCAAATGTTTAGACTTACAGTTCGTATGGGTTGTCTATATGTGTGAGTGAATTTCATTGATGTTGGTATCTTTTTTAATTAACATTAGGTATGATTTTCATTAAAAAAAATGAATTAATCTTGTCATCATACTTCTATTATACATCACATACAATCTTAAATAATATAAAATAAATTTCTTAAATTATCTTATGCTATATACTACCTTTGTTCCAAAGAGACTATCTCCTTCGATTTTTCACATAGATTAAGAAAATTATTAATTGTTATGCCATATCAGTATTTTTTTTATTTATACTTTCTTAAAATACTTTATTTGTTTATTAGTTATCAAATTAGTCCTAAATTACATAGAACTAATAGTAATTTAAAGAGAAAATCTATCAAAAATTAAGATGATAAATAAAAAAAATCATTAAAGTCATGCATTATGTCCCTGTAAGAATGAATATTTTTTATTAAAATTAATTAAAAATCAAGTTTAAAACAATTGTGGAAAAATAAAAAATGAATAGAAATATTGTATCAAATTTTCACATACAATAGAGTCCCAGTAGAATGAACATTTTTCATGGAACAAAAAAAATTCTTTGAATTTTTTTTTATATTAAAGGTATTTGTATGTATAAGAGAGAAAATATAAGGAATGATGATTTTATGTTACTAAAGAACAATAAATGAAAAAAATAATTGTTTTTTTTAATCAATTAGAAGTACTACCACATATTAGACTTTATGCGAGTGATTGAAAACTACTATCAAAAAATTAAAAACCACCGAATCACACATAATGCAAGAGCTTACTAGCCACTATATCCAACCAACGCTGCAATACATTAATGTAACAGTTTATATGTACACTAGCAATGCATAAATTTTGGCAAATTGTAAAGTCAAATATCTAATCATTGTGTGTTTTTTGTTGAAATTTAAATCTTATCTATCAATTAATGCTTGCATGCCAAAAATTCCATTTATGATACATGCTTCAAAACCACACCTATTTTATAATCACTTAGCTTGCAATCTTTATCCAAATTTTAGCCATCATTTCCGAGTCTAATAAGGTTATCGACGCAGCCTCATGGGGAACATAAGAACAAGAAGTAGCCACCTATCTACTTTGAGAGAATTAGGAAACCTAAACATACTAGTCCGTATAGATATCTAAGCAAAAGGTCGGTTATGTATAAAAAAGATATAACATCATTTTCATCCCATCTTACTTGAGATATGTTGTATTGTTTGCATGTGAAAAAAAAATTGATTTTATTATGTTATGCTTATATACCTATTTGAGTGAATTATTTTATCGAGATGGAATAACAAAGTAATTCAGAATTTAGGTCGGTTTGAGGCCAAAACCCACACTTAAAGGGGAATGGTGGGCAAAATTAGAATTTTGGCTAATCTTTAACGAATGTTTTGTGTATCGATAAGTAGGAGAGTTTCTAAAGATTGATAGCCTTTATTGACATGAATAGTAAATTATCAATAACTTTACTTACACAAGTGGGAAGCCACCATTGACTTTAGATCATGAGTTTGGGAAGCTACCGATAACTTCATCACGTAAGTGGAAAGCTACCGCCCATTCCATTTTGCTCAAGTAAGGAGCTTATAACTGGTTTGGAAGCTACCGACAACTTTATCATATAAGTGGATAACCACTACCGGCCTTTTTTATGAGCAAAACATATGCAAAATGATTTCAAAGTCATCGGTGGCTTTGTCACATAAGTGGATTTCAAAATCATAAATGGCTTTGTCACATAAGTGAAAAGTTATTAATGACTTCTTTTTCGTAATCAGCTTTTGAGGAAAAATGGTTTCAAGGCCATTAGAAGCTTCATTCACATAGACGAGAAGTCACCTGGTGGCCTATTTTCTAATAAACGAACGCATGTAAAATAATTTCAAAATCATTGATGGCTTTATC